GATGCAAAATCTTGTCAAATATGTATAATTCAGTTTAGTTTATTTTAGTAGATTTTTATCCACTTTGTTTATTTTATTAATTGACTTTGTTGGTGTCAACTAGGATTTAAAGACTTAGATGGAGAAACTTAAGATAAAATAATACAAATTTTTACTATTATAAAAAAATATAATATAATTTTGATGGAGAAATTCTTTTATAATAGTAAAAATTTATATTAAGTATTCTTTTTACAATGGTTTTTTAATAATTTTATTTATATTTTCAGCCATTATAGCTTATCATAATTAACAAATATGACTAAAAAAATCTTATATTCCTACATTAGAAATATAAGAACTATTAAAGATCTAGTCATTGTATTGAATTCAAATAAATAATTTTTATGTGTTTATTTTAAGTAGAAAAAGGTAGAAGAATGATTCTTCAAAGTTAAAAACAAGCCAAAATAATCATTTTGATATTTTTGTATTAATTTGGTTAAGAGAATCTTAAATTTTTCACCAGCCTAAATCTTTCAAAAGAGAGACCAATTTAAAAGAAGTAAAATGTTATTTATTTTATTCATGTAATATTGCAGAAAAAATAAGTTGTTTCTTCTTATGATTGATTGCAAAAATAGTGCCCAAGAAACCACATTTTAATAGATTCTAATTGGGACTAAGGAAAAATGCATATATACATCCTTACATCCAAGAAAGGATAAGGTTCCGAAAAACACAAAAAACAAACTATAAAAGATAGAATGAATATATATATATATATATATTAAAAAAAACAAAAAATAGCTTTAGTAGAGCAAGAATTGAATATGCTAAAAGTTAGAAGTGATATAAACATTTAGCCTAGCAGACAGGGTAAAATTCGAATAGGTCCCAAATATCTCCAAATAGGAAAATCCCAAAAGAATGTGAAAACAATTTCAAATCAGATCAACAAAATTTTTAAAATCCGTACCCACACACATACCAGTCCAAAAGAGCACCGATGGGATAAACAAATTCCTCATTTGAACAATTCCTCATTACAAGAAACCCAAAAGCGTTAAACGTCGTCTCTCTCGTCACGACGACATTCGTACTGATGACATCCCACTTCAACATCATTTGTCGTGTCCCAGACACAAAAAGAAAAAAAAAAAAGAAAAAAAAAGAAAAAAGTAGACATTAAGAAACCAACACGTTTTTTTGTTGCAGTGTCTTTTTTGAAGAAAAAAGAGAAGGAGAAGTAGAAGGAATCAACAGCAAGTGGTCTGATGGAGTGTTGCGAGGAAGGCGGAAGGACTTCGATGGCCACCCAGTTGGGGTGTAAAGAGCTGCAGGAGATGGGGTCACAGCCCAGGAATGCCACAAACCAGGGTGGCACACACACTGGAATAATAAAGCAGGAGGATGGCAATCAAGCAAGGACCACAAGAGGGAGCACAAGAGCAGGCACAAGAGGGAGCACAAGAGCAGGCACAAGAGCCAGGGCTCACTTTTCACAACTCCGCAATTTGCTAGTATGTTCCCTGCTTGCATGTATGAATGCTGCCAATGATTGTGTGTCCACTGCGATGCTCTTCCCGGAGGCTCGTCGCCTCATCTCAGTTTTGACCAGATCGCACAAACCAGGAGGAGGACCCAACTGCATGATCAGTGCCACTGAGCCAGCTCTCTCACCATGTGATATGGTGTAGACTGGGTCTGGGTCTGTGTGTGAAGTTGAAGCCGCTGTCCAGGAACGCTGGGGATACTTGCAGGACGGCTGTGAACTCCGCAATGTGTCCTGTGAGTGAGTCGTTTTTGTTGTTTTTTTCCTGGAATGCTGGTCATTGATGATGCTTGCTGGCCTCGGAAACTTGATGTCGACCTTTTGACCCCCTCTTCTCGGAACCGGGACCCACGGTTGCAGGTCTTGACGTCTCCGTGAATGTGGTCTCCTGGATATTCTAGGTCTCTCGTTCGCCTGATCGTTCATTTGGTTGGGTCTGCCGCTGGTGAGCGAGGGAGCCTGGTGATCGTCGTCCGCGTGGATTAGTCTTCGGGGTAAAAAGGTCACTTCGTGCGCTTTCATTTTCATCAAAAGAATGCGGTGATGACTTGCCCTACCGCTACTGCTTTTCTCCGGCAGACATTTGTCGCTTTGTCTTCCTGGGGACAAAATCAAAAAGATGGTCCCGCTGATAAGGCCCAACCTGGCTCTACATGGAGCTTGTTTAGACTTTAGTTGTCACCTTTTCCATGAGCTGGTTGATTGCCTGGTTTGATTATCCGACTCCATTCACACCGTAATCCAAACCATTTCGAATGTTTCCTTAAAATAGATAACGAAAGAAGATACCGAAAGAAATTCACTTTTTCCAAAACAAAAACTCTTTTCGGTGGTTTCATCACCCTACTAGTAACAATACTGCGAGTTGAATTCAAGCCTTGATTTGTTTTCCGAATGTGTAAAAGTACATCTGCATAAAGAATTAAACAAGTTGAACTAGTCGGCCCCCACGGGTCTCATCCAATGTCAATGCACTACAGGAAAATGATAGCCCCCTGGCCCTACTCATCTAGGTGCGAACACGCCTCGCCACGAGGCCTCCACGACACCGCAAGTAAGTGGAGTCCAGCTCAATCAAGCGCAGAACGGGCGTAGGAGAGATGGGAGCAGTGGGCGTGATCTGGTCTTAAATCCAGAACGAAAGAATTGAATGCCAGGGTGGTGGTGGTGGTGGTGAGGTTGGGAGAAATCTTTGACCGTGCCGTAGACCGCCCCGCTGATTACTTCCTTCCGTGCAACACATGAATCCAGTCTTCGATCTCCACAGTAACTTTGAAACTCGTTGATCTTCGTGTCAAAAAAGAATTGAAAAAGAAATGAAGGACAAAAACTCGTTTATCTTCCACACGGGAGCAGTGGTCCGCTTCCAACAGCTTCATCTGTCCCTATACCCAGCACTGAGGAATTAAAGCGAGGAGAAGAGTTGTGATAATAAAAGAAGAAAACGTGAGAAAAGAGCATCATCACCTTCTTCTTCTGCGTGTGTGGAGCAGTGCTGTGTTCTCCGGACATCCAAGCCTACGGCATCAACAGTGGCCACCATCAGCAACCTCATGCCTAGGCCATGTTGACTTTACCAGGCACCCCGCTAATCTATAAATATATATATATATATATAGAGAGAGAGAGAGAGAGAGAGATCTATCTCATTTAATTATATGTATGTATGTGCGTGTGGCTATGTTTTATTTTTAATACTGTAGAACGTCCAGAGAAACAACCTCCAGGTTTGAAGCTGTCTGTATGGGCGTCCAGGTGAGCAGTATATGGTCGCCTCTGCTGATTTGCAAGGAGGGTGACCAAAGTCAAGCAAAGCCCCCACTTTACAAATATATAAAAAGATTCCCTTCCCACCCCAGTGATGATTTGCGGTTATGCACTCACCTGCTTTTGCTCCTTCAGGTAAGTTGCGCAATCCTAACTTCTGCAAGCAAACGATGTACTGAAATGGAAATTACCATGTTAGTACAACAGTATTAGTTTTGTTGTATTAGTGCACACATTTTGTTTCAATACCATTCATATATTGATAACACAAGAAAATTTCTATCAAATTTCACATCAATGTGTACGAGTTTAGGAGGAATTGTTAATGGTTCACAAAGGTTTGTAATCAAATCAACTTAAGAAATCATCAACCCCTTCCAATAGTCTTTTCCGTGAACTAAGACGTTTGATGATATTTGAAGAGTAAAACTTTAACCCAAACTTATTTACATTTAGTATAGATGAGATTCTGAGTTTTTAAACAGTAGCCACACAATTTTTGTAAAACGCTGTAGGGAATACTTGATTCTTCTTCAAGTTTGTTCCAAAACTTTATTCTTTTGAAGTTGGTTTCTAACAGCAATATTGTATTGTTGCAAATAAAAATACTTTAATCTCTGATATAATTATTAGTTTCTTCCCTCTCATTACTTCGATCATTGTTAATACAATTTCTGGTAGTTATAAGTAGTCCTCACACATCCTCGATTGTGGTCGATTTAGCAGAACAGGTACCCAGCTCACAATCTGACGTTTTTACTCAATCCGTCCGTCATACATTAGTGTGTACAAACATAGATGACGGGTAGATGACTGGCAACAAATTGTTAAAAGTCCCTGAAATAGAGGTAGAATGGGTGCGTGGTTGAGAGTTTGGGGTTCAAAATAAAAACACTCACACACACAAACAAAATCATTTACAAACAACTCAACAGGTTTATGGTTTAGGGTGTGATAAAATGTTCTTGTGCGCGAGGAGCTCATAGGAATTTCCATTCATCCAGTATCACGTACCAACTGGGTACCTAGACCGCTACGGCCCATTGTGGTTGCATGCACATGATTGGCTACTTTACAATCCAGCAAGTTTCAAATAATGAGAGAGAGAACGAGAGGGATTGATTGTACCGGACGTTAATCCCACAGCCGCATCTCCCAGATCGTGCCACGCTCCCGTCGGCAATTCGCTGTTACCGCCCTACGCTGAAACAGTTTATCCAACGAGGTCTATTTCCATAGCCTAAAGTGCAAAGTGTGTGGGGCCTTGGCAGCTTATTCCTGTGTTGCACCTATTCCAGCTTTCGCACACGACAGCTGGTTAGAATAACATATATAATTCTTCTTCTGTCATGTGCTTTCTTCGATGGTGGGGGTCCTCCCCCCACCATCCTCTATTCCACACCAGAATTTAGGGTCGGCACTGTCTCCGATTCGCTCTCTGCACATGGTGAACAATTCCAGAATATGTTTGGGTCGCCCCATGTTGCACAAAGTACCTGTAAGAAACTTGTACGCTGTGCTTTACATGTAGATGGCAAACATGCAATAAGCGTGAAGGAACAGCCATGATCTTTTTTAAAAGAACTCCTTTCCGACATTCTGACGGTCACCTTGGTTCACGCAGACCATCTCAACATTGATAAAGAACACAAATCCAGCTGGTAACCAGGGAACTGAGCTAGTGACCACAATGGAAATATTACCATTAAGATTATCTCGATTATACTTCTTTTGTGAACAAAAAAAATCCTGTAAAATTGGGTGTTATCACATTATCTTTACATTTCAATGGAATAAGAATTTCTAAGAGACTGGTGATTCAGAACAGATACCGGAACGCCAGGATGATGGTATTTCACTGACGTGGCCAGGCGTGAAACTAACTTTCTAAAACTCCAGCTCAACCTCCAGGTTCCTGCTAATTTTCATCGTACCTCACCATCTCGCGACTCAACCAGGGATGAATTTACAAGTATATTCCAGGATTTCTAGTACGGTAGCAAGCTAAAACTGATGAGCTAGTCGTTACAACTCAAGAGATTTGAGCGCAAATCAATTACAGAATACTATCTATGGGGGAACGAACCGTCCTCCACAATGTGATCAGCTGCACTTTCGCCAGAAAGCCTGCACTGGGACTTCCCATTGCGAGCTCGCTTGTTCGGTTCATGAGCAAGTCCAAAACCTCTTCTTTTCGTAGTCCCAGCGCTCCTCTCCTCGGACTGACTTTGACTTGGAGGTGTTTGCGGAGGTCTAGGATTAGAAGGAGAGCTTCGCTCACTGCAGCTGGATGTACCTGCCTGATGCTCAACCCGACCCGGAGACGATAAATAGTCCATGGACCTGGAGACCGCCGGAGATGGTGAGGGTGACCTTGATGGTGGCTTGCCACCTGAAGGACCCTCAGAGTTGCCACGAGGAGGAGATGCATCTTCCTCTTCCTTAACAATAACTTTCTTTACTCGGTCCTTTCTCTTCTCAAGAAATCGAGCCAGTGACGCCTTCCTTGCCTGCGGCAGCTCAACTGCACATCACAAAGTCAGTCGGTTACAGCCCGCTGACATAAAAATAACCTCGAATCATCATTTTGAAAAATTAAATCAAATTAAACTAAAATAAGAGAATACTATTTTGGGATTAAGAAGCAAAAATTAGAAAAAGAGACGGGCCAGGAGTAGTACAATTGTGGATGGGAGGTTGCCGGACATTCGAAAACACCACTCCTGATAGCGACGGACGTGGCGGCGCGGGTGCTGAAGTGGTGGAAGCTTGCGGAGCAGGTGACCCTGGTGTGGAAGGTGTGGACGGAGGCACTGCCGTGGGAGTAGAAAAAGTACGTCCAGAAGCGGCACTTCCAGCCTGTGGAGGGTTCATGAAGTTCGAAGACCACGTGTTTCTACTGCCCGCTAAAAGTGTGATAGCTTGAGCCTGCACCACAATATCCAATCCAATCACAAAATAAGTCACATGTACAGACATGTTTCTTTTTGTGTTGTTGTATAATAACAGATGAGTAGAGTAGTAAAAAACAATTCTCACCTTATCAAAAGGTACATCATCGTAGACGTTAACCATGCCGGCATAGAAAATGGTGAGTTGTGCTGTGCGAGGCTGCTTACCAAGTCCACCAGGTCTGTAACGTCCAAAAGATGGAAATATGTTACTTAGAGACGATAATTGACATGTAAGTGAATAGATTTGAAAAAGTAAAAAAAGCAAACTAAACATACTTTGAAGCAACAGAAGCAACTTGCTCAAGAATACCTGGGTAGGCTTCCTGATTGAACTGGGTGCTGAAATGGTAGCTTCTTCCCAGCCATGGCAGCTACACTATCCACAACCCCAGAGTTCGACCTAGCACAAAATGGTGTTGGAGCCCCACAGCCGCCTTGCCTTGAAGGTGGGTGCGGCTGCGTAGCATGGTCCGACGGTTGAGCACCTCGTTGTGCTTCGTCTCTGAACGGCGAGGTCCGTCCACCTCCGTTCTGCATACCCTTCAACGCTTGATGATTACCATATGTGGTTGTCACCTTTTCAGATTGATGCATCCGCAGAAACGCGTCATACCGGTTTGCGGAGCTCCCCTGCCATGGTATCAAGATAATTCAGTGCTTGGTAAGAAATCGAATCACATGCAACCTTGCTAATTATAAAATATTACGAATCAGAGGCAGTTCAACACCTACTTACAAGATGATGGGACGGGCTTGTAGGTGCTGAATTATCCCACTGTGACGAGAACTGGGGATGACCATTCAGAGGGCCATCTGTCGTCTCTTTCTCCTTCTTGGGACAAACGACAACCTTGTTAGAATTTTCGTTCTCCAGTTGAAATCTTGCAGCAACCTGAACTCTGTTCCAAGCTTGCTGACGGAGGCCTATTTAAAAAGGCGAAAAAGGCTTAGGAAACGGTGTAAAACGCAAATTAAGGTTCACTAGCTGGGTAACTTCAATGCATTAAAATTCCCTCACCACCAACTTCATCTCATTCTCATTACCAGATCTTTGAAAAGGCTGCATAATGCCATCGTTAGTATGACACTCGTGCATTCAATTCAAGCCATTAAAACTTGTACGGTGTACAACGTCAGGCATTTGTATAAAACAAGCATCATGTTGCTTCCCGTTGTTTCAATCAAATACTGAACCGAAGGCCATTATATTATATACCTAAGGTTTGTAAAAGAGTAAGATGAGAAAAAGGACCAGGGTTCACGTCAGCTGCACAAGAAAACGTAGACGGTCATCGAAGGACCCCTAACAACCCACCGTTGAACTCACTCCAGTTACACCGGTGCCATAATACCCGCCAATGTGAGAGTACGTCGATACATCCAAACATTTGAATGCGCTCAAAATGGAGCTCCGAGAATGGAAGATTAGAAAAGAAGTGGAAGAACAAGTATCAATGGAAGAGAAATCACCATGATGCACAAATGGGCTGTTGTCTCGACCACCTTCCGGAGCAGGCGATATCCTAAAGTTGCCCGCACGATTATCAGGAACAGTAGGAATGGGCCTCACAAGACGCACTCGCTCCTCAGTACCATCAGGGCTACTCGTGGGGGCACCCCCGACTCCCATGTAGTCCACAGCAACCGGCTCTCCAGCCATGGCTCCCTAATAAACTACCTATCTTTCTAAGCACTACTACTGCCACCCCGAACAACCAAATCAACAGTTTGCTTCACGTCACGGATCGGGGGGCTCGTTTCTTCCAGCAAAATCCCCACGTCCACTCCTCCTCGCCACCGTGTTTGTCACTGCGCCTCAAAACTTCTTCCTCCCGTTGCACCCCGTCATGAAGGATAGACACCCATCACGCTAAACTTCTACACCACTACACTCACACCATTGCAAAATCCCCAAAAATCTATTTCAAAACAATCTAAATACAAAAAGCAAAATCGAACGAATAACGCCTCATCCACAGGACTCGACCCCTAATGACACCATCCATCTGCCGAACTCAGCCTAACAAACAAACTCGAGCCCGAACCCGAACACAGATTCGTCTTCGCAAGTTCCAACACCAAGCTACAAACCCGAGGAGCGTGCGAGCTACCCGAGAGTGAAACTACACCCACATGACCGGCCAGAGTAAATATAACAAGGCATTGGAAACGAGGGAAGACGACAAAGCGAAATAGCCCTCCCGTCCAAGATTGGGTCCGCAAAGCGACATGGTCGGGGGTCGACACGAAGAACGCGCTCTGTGTTTGTCTCTCTCGCACTTCTTCTCTTCTCTGCGTGTGTGTGTCTTTCTTCCTTACTACGAAAATTGAAGGTGGGTCTGGGAGTCTATCAAGCTGTGCAACGAGACACATGAGATTGATGGAATGGTGGAGCTGATGCTATCGGTCTTCTTGTTGTTGTTGCGACTGGGCACACTCGCTATCCTGGCCTGGGTAGCGCGCCGTCCCCCTCCTCCGCCCACCCTCCCTCCCTCTCTGTTCAATTCTCCCTGCGCATGCTCTCGATGCTTGTGCCATAGGCTGGAGGGCCGGGCCAAGCGCAACGGGCAGGGGACGGGCTGAGGGAGACGGGGCACCCGGAGGAAGGAGGGAAGGGAAAATCCGCACGTGCTTTACATGGCTATCCCTGGCGACCCCAGCTCCCTTTCCTGACTCCTTCGTGGCCCAAGCCCCCTCTTATCGAGAGAGCTTTGTCATGCTGCTCTTGTATTGCGTGAACATAATATACAAACTCCTCATCCTATTCATGAGGCATTGTTTCATCCATATCTGGCAGCCCCACATGCAAAATCATTCATCCATCCGTTCGGATTCAGGTGTGTGAACTCCACTCCACCAGAAATCGTTTATTGTATTGCCAGCAGTATTGTGTGATGAGATCAAATCAAGTGAAGTGGGGTCATCATCATCATCTGCTTTCCTTCTCATTTTTTTTGTTTGGTTTGGTTGCTTCTTACTTTCTTTTTCTTCCTGCCCACCTGTAATTTTTCCCCATGTTTGGTATAGTACAGACTCCAACATCCATCAAACTGTAGATACTTGGGATTTCAATCAAAACCACCTCCCTAGCCATGTGGTTGCTCCCCAATCGAATAATAGGTATAAATATACTCATTCATTTAATGCACGTGGTCTCCAAAGTCATTTATTATGACAAAGCCCATGTGTATCTTTGATACAGGGTGGCAGCACAGCAGACAGTGCATGGATATCCCCTTCCTCCAAAATCACCCAGCTCAGTCTCAGGGGACTGTCCCTATGGGAAGTGCTGCTCTTCCTTTTATCATCACTATTAAATTATTCTCATCCTCCCAATAGGTGTGAAGTTGGGCTACTTTTATCCTCTTTACCTTTCCCAATTTTTTTTTAAGCTGTTTGATTCATCATGCTGTTGCTGCTGCTGAGCAGTGGGAGATGGTAAGAGGTGGTGTCCTCCCTTCAACCCTCAACTTCCAATCACATATGCTTTTGGGCACAGTCCAAAAAGTAAATACCTCCACCCCCTTCCCCTGCTTGCCTCTACCCCAGCAACATGGGGTCAACAACAGCAACAGCAACACGGCTCCACGAATGGGGTGGAGTTTTCTTGCTTTGACTCATGTGTAGTGTGGTGCATGCAACAATAATGTGGCAAAATAAAATTGTGGGATGGAAACAATACAAAATAAAAATAAAATAAATACCTTCTCCATAGGGGGGGGGGGGGTGTGATCACATGGAAGCTGAATATAGCTGCTATGAATGAACAGTTTACCTATTGCCCGGAAAAAGAAACTACTATGCACATGATAGACACTGCATTCATTCATGTGCCCATTTTCAAATGTTCATCCATTCATTGTTTGTTTTTGTTTTTTTTTGTGTGTGTGTGTGTGTGTTAATTGCTTGGGTGTTTTTCTTCCATGATTCTACTATAGGGTTGATTTGATTCCACAGCTACAGGGGAAGAGAGAGAGAAAGATTTATGTGCATATATATATATATATATATATGTGTGTGTGTGTGTGTGTGTGTACACACATGTATGTATGCCCAAACATACAGATTAACAAGCATTTAAATGCCTTAGATTTCATAGTATCCAGCTATTTCATCCTGATTGTTTGTACTCTTTTATAGGTGGTCTGCATTTTCATGAAAAGCTTGTTCATATGCATCCCCACCCATGCCCCTTTAAACTGACACGCCATTGGGCTTGGGGTGTGGTGAGGCCCACAAACTGAACCTAATCTTGTCCCCAGCTGAGGACCCACTGCCCTGAACAGTTTTGGGCAACTGCCACATGGTGGGGTTCAATTTATGGATGATTTGTTTTTTCTATTTGTGATTATTAATAGTGAGACAAGAATGATGATTGGAGCATAGGATTTGATGTAGCTCCCTCACAACACCAAAAGATCCAATGTGGCCCTGTCATACCTCCAAACATGCATGTGTGCAAGTATGAGTATATGTAAATTATGGATACATAAATGTCCAAACAATCCAACTTATTTACATTATTCTTATAGGACATGAAAAAAATGTTATAATATTAGAATAGAATAACCTCTGCAATGAAAATGTTGTATTGTATTTTTTTAAGGAAAAAAATAAATAAATTAATAAGATTAGAGAATATAGTACAAAGTAGCTTGTTACTTATTTATCCATGTCTTTTTTAATGAGTATTGAATTAGACCATTATGGAAAATTTTATTATTCCAATAGATTTTCATTTCGTTTTGAATGTCTATTTTTTTTTTTTTTTTAATCATTTACATATTGTCTCACAATCTTAGAAATGTATTTTTTGTTGTTTTAAAATTAATGTTTTTCTTTGAGCTAAAGTAGTCTGAATTCATAGACTCATGTATTAAAATTATGGCAACTAGAACCTTATTTAATATTGTGTATATATATATATATATATATGTTTGGGTCTACTACTAAGTCATAGAATAGTTGGGTATTACTTCTAAAACCATAGCTATATGGATAAATATTAGAAAATAAATATTTATTAAAATTTTCTATAATATTTATTTTAAATTTATTAATATATTATTAAATATAATATTATTATATTTTATAAAAATACTATCTCATAAATTTAGTATTTAAGTACATTATTCTATGTGTGTAGCATATCAATATTTCATATATGATTCTACTAGAGTGAACTTATCTTTGTTGATTACTATTTTATCATTTTTATTTATTCTTCTACTTGTGGTTCTAAATATAAAATTCTATTATTTTTTTCATTTTAAAAAATATATATTATCACATTGCTATATATATATATATATATATATATATATATATAAATTTAGTTGGTTTTTCTTACTTTATGCTTCTACTTAAAACCTTAAATCCAAAGATTGATTTTTAAATAAAATACAAGTTTATTTCAAATTTTTTGTAATATATAAGGATTTTAATTTATATTTTAAAATAGAATATTTAATTTTAAATATTTAATTTTAAATTTAAGACTTAGATGTATCTAATTTTTAATTATTTCTATTATTATAATTTATCTTAAATTGATCATAAAACTTCATTTTCATTAGTTGCAATACATAGAAAAAATTTGAAAAACTCATTTGGTAGGACTTTCAATCATATCCATGTAAATATTTTAAATGATAATGGTTATTTTATACTCGTTGAACTCCAAATTATCCTAAGATTAACATTGTGCTCTTATAAGTGCATTCATAATGTACAAATACATGTTTAGCATGGAAAAATAGTAATATTTACCTAAATATTATTTCATTGATTACCATGAAATAAAAATGATATATTCTATTATTTTATTTCTATTATATTTTATTATGTTGTAATTTTTTAATATGGTTATATTATATATTTTAAAAAATAAAAGCATTGTAGGATTTTTTAACTACAAAATGTATAATAACTATTTTGTTGGATAAATAGTCTATTTTGGCTCGAAGAACATGTGCATCTACTTCTACTTCATAAGATTTTGTTCTAAACAACATAACTATGTGAGTAATTAATAAAAAGTTTTCATGAAGTTTTTTATTAGTTGATATTTTTTGTAACGTGTTGAACACCTAAATTCTTACACCTTGAGAATTATAAGATATCCCTTCTATGTTTCCATATAGATTCTATCCATGTACTTGCCTCAAGTGTTTAGAATTCTTGTAATTGTTGAAATCAAGGTCAATCAATTCAATTTTAAAACTATCTTCAGTATATTTGTCAATCTTGTCTTGCCTTCTTCAACCTAGTATTCAAAACTCTTGTGTTGAAAAGCATCTATATCTTCATAAACTTCATCTTGTCTATGTCTTCTTTAATCTAGTTTTCAAAACTCTCGTATTGAGAAACATCTATATCTTTATAAAATTCATCTTGTCTTCGTCTTCTTCAACCTAGTATTCAAAACCCTTGTATTGATAAACATCTATAACTTCATGAACTTTGTCTTGTCTTCTTCTTCTTCAATCTAGACTTCAAAGCACTTACTTCCTCACATAGAGAAACATCTATGTCTTCATGAATTTTATCCTACAATTCTTACAATTTAATAATAATAGATCAAAAGTATATGATGAAATGACATATGTCAAATGTAATATCTTTTTTATTATGATTTCCTTTTGATAATTATAACATAATTTTGGATCTATTTATAGATTTATAGTAATTTTTTAAATATATTTTAAACATAGTAAAACTAACTTATTTTTAACTACTATAACTATCAAAGGTAGTTTCAACTATCTTTTCTTTTAAACACATGGACAACTAATCCTTTTGCCTTTTTACACTTTCTTAACTTTCCTTAAATTTATTTATACTTACTTCTATAATTTGTTTTTATACCAATTCTTTTCTTCTTTTATAATAGTTTATTTCCTTCACATTCTTTTATCTAAAATTCTTCTATAATACACCTCTGTAATAAAATAAATATATTTATTTTATTAATTCACTAATAAATGTAATTTCTAAGGTTAATAGATTTCACTTCTATTCTTTTTATTTCTATATTCCATGCATTCCAAATATTATGAATATAATGTAGTATTCTTACATTTACACTAAAACTTGATTCTTTGATGTATTGATTTTATCTCTTATATTATTGATTCCTTTTTCTAAAGAAAAATGTATTCATTTACACACTTAGAATAAGACTTTGTTGTACATGTGTTGCTAAAAATCCTTAAAATACAAACAAACAGCTGATTGCCTACATTGATTTTTGTCCATATTACTTTGATGTGTGATGTTTCAACACACAAAAGCTTGTTGATCAAGCTTGTTGCTATCTTGTCACTCAAATACCAAAAATTGCAGAGATTTTGACCATTCATGCCATCCAATGTAATGCCTATCTCACTTCATGTAGTTTCCATGACACACTAAACCTTACACTTCTTGAGTTCTTTTTCTAGCATCTAACATTTTCAATGTAAACACAATGACATGCATTGTAATGCTTATAGATGCATATATATGTGTATATATATCCACTAAATTTCATCTACAAATTGACTCCTCCCTCTAGCCCCCTTCAAATGAGGTATGAATATGCACACCATAATGACATCCAAGGCTAATTTCCAAACCCTCATGCATCATTGTCCTTACACATTGTCACATTCATGATATAAGATTTCATCCTTTTGTGATTGTTCATGAGTTTGGA